AAAAAAAAAAAAAGACACATTACTTTTCCTCCCCTCTCTTATTAAATGGAATTTGTTTCTGGATTTCCTAATATTAAACCTTCCTTTATTGGGTGCACTGAAGATTTAAGTACATTGACCCTATTGAAGAGAATCACCTCATTTAGAATGCGATAAAGATCATGAAAATGTTGATGGTTATTAATAGCATGTGTAGTTTTTCCAACTGTCAGATTAATCTAATAATATTTACGAGTTACTCGTTAATAATATAGTTAAACAGTTACCTGGTTTACCCACTTTCAACTGTGGGCAGTAGCCATGTCTTAAAGGGTGTAAGCATTGAAACATACCCGGTACATATTGTGGGTCAGACCCCAGTGGGAGTAACACTTTGTTTTAATTATTTATTTTGAAGTAGGAAATGATATCTGGATTTTCTACTATAATTAAAAATACTACCTCACACCAGTCTATGAAACCATCAGGGTTGCTGCAGAGTTTCCTGTAAAAGCCTTTCACATCTTGATTCTTCACTTCTGGACCAAAGAGGTCCTGTACTGCTGCATAAAACTTGTCATAATCAATCGCCTCTGCATTGGAAAAAGTAAAACAGTATTTTCATCAAATTTCAAGGACTGTCTTTTATATTGCAGCTGCCTTTTTTATTTCTTACCTTTCTATATTCTTATTTCAGTGTATGAAAACTAAATTTATTTGCATTTGAAAGAGCTTGTCTTCGGAAACAGAACCAGGCCATCAGCTACATCAGAAGAAAATATTTTAATTTGGTATTTTGTTCCTTCTCCGTAGCTTTTAAGCTATTTTGGGAGGTCCCCCCACCACTGAAATACAAAGATAAGAAAAGGAATTTCTTTTTCCTCCTATTGTAAAAACTTTCACCAGCTGGAATCCCTGCTAGATTTTATCTTAAGTAGAAGGTAGAAGTGTCCAAAGAGCAATTCTTTTGTTTATTTATTTATTTTAAAGAGGCAGGGTTTTGCTTTGTTGCCCAGGTGGGTCTCAAACTCCTCGCCTTAAGCCATCCCCCGTCTTGGCCTCCTAAAGCCCTGGGATTACAGGTATGAGCCACTGGGCCTGGTGACTGGAGACATCTGTGATTGTTACTACTACGGGTAGGTGTGCTGCTGGCATCTAGCAGGTAGAGGACAGGGATGTTGCTAAACGTTCTTTCATGTGCAGGCCGGCCCCACACACACACAAATACACACAACCAAGAATTATTCAGCCACGAAGTTGGCAGTGCCAAGGTCAGAAACCCCATTCTAGAACTCTGGTTTTAAACACAGAAAATATTGTACTACAGTAGTTTCTGTTATCTGCAATTTCGCTTACCAATGTTTTGGTTACCCATGGTCAACTGTGGCCTGAAAATATTAAATGGAAATTTCCAGAAGTAAACCTTAAGTTTTAAATTGCACGCTTTCTGAGTAGCATGATGAAACCACATGTAAATCTTCCTGTATTCTGCCCCTACGTGCTGTACACCCACCCACGCACACCCCAGTAGTCACTTAGTAGCTATTTCAGTTATCAGACCAATTGTCGTAGCATGGTAGTGCTTATGTCCTACTAACTCTTATTTTACTTTATAAAGAGGAAAACATCACACAAAAGAGTAGTGATGTTGGCAATTTAGATATGCCAAAGAGGAGCTGTGAAGTGATTCCTTGGAGTGAAAAGATGAAAGTTCTCAACTTAATAAGGGAGGGAAAAAATCAAATGCTGAGGTTGCTTAGGTCTGTGGTACAAATCTTCTCCCTGTAAAACAGTGAAGAAGGAAAAAGACATTCATGCTCGTTTTGCCGTCACACCTCAAATTGCAACAGTTACACCCATAATCTGATTAGTGAAGATGGGAAAGGCGTTAAATATGTGTGTGGAAGACGTGAACAGAACCATGTTCCAGTGGACAGCAGTTGATTTTAGCACTATCTGTGGTTTCAGGTATCCACAGGACATCTCGGAATTGTAGTAGTTGACAAAGCCCAGCCAAGTTCATAGTCATCCAAAGAGCTAAAAGATTCAAGTCTTGGCTTGAACACTTAGAAGTTGAGTTGACCTGGGTAAATAAATGATTTATCTGTACTTCTCTTTTTTTCACAAATAAAACAAACATAATTATATTTCTTGAAATGATTATAAATGATTAAATACTAACAAATAACACTTGCTTGGGCTTGAACACCCAAAGTCAAGATTTTCCTTTCCATATGACTATGCAGTCTGGCCCATGGAGACCTGGCTGTGCTGTCATTTTAGCAGTTATCTGAGCGCTGCTCCTGTTATTATAACAACAGGATTTGTTCTGGGAGTCTATTACTCTGCTGTTTTGCCTACTCTTCTTTGCTGCCCTCAAAGACAAAGCTGCATACTTCACCACTTTGCTTGAACTTGGCCCATGGTGCCATCCTCTAAGTTCTGCTCTGGAGTCTCTGCTACTAATACACGTATTCCTGGCAGACCACTGTGCCATACATTTCCCTTATGTTGGTATCCTCAAAGTCCATCCTGCCTAGAGACACAGGGGTGGCCAAGATGATGGAATCATGGTGAGGCAGGCAACTTCCCTGCTGATAAAAGTCCTTAGGGTCTCATGATACCCTCAGGTCCAGGGATGGCAGTGTGTCACATATGGCTTACTAATGGTCACTGTGTACTACTGAGGGTCCCAGGTCAACTAGTGAGCCGTGGAATGGCAGAAGCCAGGGGAGAACTCTGAGATGTCATTTAGTCCAGTCCTCTAATTTAACAGTTGAGACAACTGAGGTTCAGAGAAGTGAGAAAAAAGCTTGCTTAAGTCCACTTTGCTAGTTAAAGACAGGGGAAGAAGAATTCAGGTCTTTAGTCCCCTTATTCAGTCTTTGCTACTAAGTTCTGTCATGTCTCTCTGATGGCTTAAAACATTTCCCAATGCTAATCAACAGGCCCCACTGGACTGCCCTGAAATCACTGATCTTACCTTCTTTTTGGACAAATATGCCTGCTCTCTCATCTCTTTTGCAGGCTGCTGTTTTTTCAACCAAATTTTCAAACGCTTTCAAGGATGCTCTGAAATTGATAACCTGAAGTGCAGCGGTCTTTTCATCCCCGGTATTCATAGGGAAATAGGGAACCCTTCAGTCCTGTACAGAAATAATACTGCAATTTGCCAATTTGGAAAGTCTTCCTGTTGTTACAATGCCTCCCCACTCTCTCAGTTTCTGTCCTGGGTCGCATTCCTTTGATCTTAAAATCCCATACTGTGGGTCTCAGAGTTGCCACTAAGATATTAGCAAGGAGGAAATCTGACCTAGGTCTGACGCATTTCATGTAGACAAACATTTCAGTAAAAACCCTGACCTCATAATGTTTCCAGCATCCTCCATAAGGCCCTCATTGCATCATAATATCTCTGTAACCTCCTCCTTCCCTCCCTCCTGTGTCTCTTCTCATCTTAAACTTTTTGCCTTCCTCACAATGTGGTGGAAAGGAAAGTTTGCACTTATTCCTGCAGCTGTACGGGATACGGAAACTTGAACTTCTAATGATGAAAATGTATTTCACCACCTGTCATTTCTACCATCAATGAAGACCTTATTCAAGGTTACAGGGAATAAAAATGTCTCTGCTTTTAGGCATTATCCCTTCAATTAAAATAATAAAGTGAGCCAAGGCTGAGGAAGGAGTATTTCCTGAACGGGAGGTAAGTTTTTCAAAGTAAGGTGTCCACTGAATCAGGAGAGACCTTTCTGCTTATCTCCTTTTCTCTAATTGCAATCTCTAATCCCATTCAGTCCAATTACTATTGACTCAAGTTTTCCAGTTTTCAACTTTTTTGATTGCAGCCATCATTGTTTGGCGGGCCCAGGCTGGATTTGAACCTGCCAGCTCAGGTGTATATGCCTGGTGCCTTAGCTGCTTGAGCCACAGGCGCCTCAGTTTTCAACTTTTTATGAGGAGGAGTAGTTATCTAAATGTTTTATTAATTAACTAAATTTGTGTGGTTTAGGTTACTTAATGGAAATTCCTATCCCTTGGTAGTCCATTCTTTAAAACATCCTGCAAGACTTTGCATTCAGATGTGAAGTAGATGACATTTAAGGATGCCTCCAATTCCAGAACTGTCTTCTTGGTTTATTTATTCAGAAACATAGTAAGATTTTACATAGAAAAAAAATCTCACAACTTCCTTTCTTCTTTCTTATTTTTCCATTAAAGCTTCCAAAGCGCTGTGCAATGACACCTGAAGGACCATGATTTTTACGATTCTAACATACACATTTATCCATCCATCTATTCAGCAAATGCTTATTGAATACCTGCTTCATGCTGGGGGCTGTTTTAGGCACTGAGGACACAGCAATGAACAAAATAGCTTCTTGAACTTACAATCTAATGGAGAAGACAGACAAACAAATAATGAAATAATATGTCGGAAGGTGGTAAGGGCTATAAAGAAAGATGATAAAAGTGTGTGTTCTGGGGTGGGGGTATAAATAAAAGTACAATAGGTGGGGGGGGGGTTCAGGAAAGGCCTCATTAAAGATAAGACATGTGGGCAGAAACTTGAAGGGAGTGAGGTAGCAAGCCGGTGGATAAATGGTAAAAGGGTGTTCTAGGGGAGACCAGGCATGTCATCCCTAGATCAACATGTGCTTGACACATCTATCTGAGAAACAAAGTGGCCAGTTTGGCTAATGCAAGGTGGGAAGAAAGAGAGTGAGGGAGAGAGGGCCAAAGAGTTTGGGGGGTGAGCAGATAGCTCAGGATCCTATGAGTTTATGAAAAGCTTGAGTAGAATAATGACATGATTTGGATTACATTTGCAAAGGATTGCTCCAGCTGCTTTATTGAGAATAAGCCTAAAGGATGAAAGGGGAGAAGCAGGGAAGGCAGTGAGTGTGGCACTTCCAGTAACCCAAGTAAGAGATGACAGTGGCCGAGATTGGGGTGCTAGAGATGAAGGTAGTGTGAAGTGGTCAGATTGATTTTGACAGGATTTGCTAATGGATTCAATGGGAGTGTGAGCGCAAGAGAAGAATGAGGAGAACTCCAGTTCTGGGCCGGAGAAACTGGAAGGATGGAGTTAGTATTTACTTTGTTTCAGAGAAAGCTGGTAGGAGGAGCAGATTTTGGATAAAAAATTAGAGTTCGATTGGGAATATGTTAAGTTTGAAGCATCTATTAGATAAACAATTACAGATGTTGAGTAAGCAGAGGTGAGAGTCCAGGATTCAGGAGTCGACAGGATGTAGATGGCATTTAAAGCCATTTGACTGGATGAGAGCATCTGGGGATCAATGTAGATAACCAAAAAAGTAGGCTGAAAATTGACCCTGGAGCATGCCGGTGGTCAGAGGTCCGAGTGATCAGGAAGAACCATGGACAGAGGAAGGAGGAGTGGCCAGAGAGGCAGGAGATCTAAGGGGTTGTCTCAAAAGTGCTACCAGAAAGACAATCCAGTTTATCCAATAGAGAAACTGAATGAAAGAGAAAGGAAGAAGGAGGAGACCCATAGATTAAATGGGACTTTAAAGAAACACCCACAAAGAAACATCCACCCACAGTGTGTGGACTGTATTTAGATCCTGACTCAACAACCAAACTGAAAAATAATTACAACATTTATTAGACAACTACAAGACATTGGAATGTCCACTGAATATTTGATGGTATTAAGAAATTGTTTTTTTCTTTTAGATTTGATAATTATATGTTGTTACATTGTCTGTCTTAGTCCACTCCTGCTGCTAAAATTACTAAACACCTTGGACTGGGTAATTTATAAACAACAGAAATTTATTTTGCACAGTTCTGGAGGCTGGAAAGTCCAAGATCAAAGCTCTGATGAATTCAGTATCCAGTGGGGGCCCATTCCTCACAGATGTGGCCTTCTATGTGTCTTCACGTGGCTGAAGGAGCAAACACCCATTTACAAGAGCACATCACATTCATGCGGGTGGAAGCCATGTGAATCACCCAATCACCTCTCCAAAGGCCCAATTTGCAGCACCATTACCTTGGGGGTTAGATTTCAACAGAGGAATTGGGGAGGAGGGCACAAAGTTTCAGACCATAGCATTATTACTTATGCGATGCTATATTTTGGAGTTACATACTAATGTATGTACAGATAAGCATTAAAGGATGAAGGAGCAGTCAACTTTGCCAAATACTGCTGATAGTGTTCATACGATGAGGTCTGAAAATTAACTATTGGATATGGATGACAGTGACCTCAAGAAAAGCTGTCTCAGTGGATTGGTGAGCCAGAGAGAAGAGTGGAGAAGAGTAGCCAGAGCCAGAGTAGAAGGAAAGGGTGTAGAGAGAGTGGCTATAAAAGCACATTATGGAGTGGGTTTGGGGAACATCTTAGGGGTATAAGCTGAAGCAACTCACGGCTATTATGGCCATTTATGAAGCTACAGGATGCATTTGTACTTGTATTTTCCCAATTACAAAAAACGGTATACCCCAGGGCGGTGCCTGTGGCTCAAGGAGTAGGGTGTGGCCCCGTATACACAGAGGTGGCAGGTTCAAACCTGGCCTCAGCCAAAAACTGCAAAACAAACAAACAAACAAACAAAACAAACAAAAAACGGTATACCCCAAAACTTAAGAGACATTAAAAGAAATCACTCATGTTTCTTCTACTCCTAAAAACTATTAATTTCAGAAAATTGCCTTCTAAGCATAGGCTATATATACTTTGACAATTTTATAGTCTCAATTGAACTATGCACATTATTTAAATTTTAATAAATTTGTCCTCATGTTCCTACAACCTTCATAATTTTTTTCTTTTCCATCTGTTTTTCTCAGTCAAAATTTTTATTATTTTATTCATTTATGTATATAAATGACTATGAAAGGTGATTGATATAAAAATTCAGAACACATACACACCTACCTATATAAGGACAGAAATGATATTGTCACTGTCAGAGAAAGACTTGGAAAAAAACTAATACATGGGATGGTTCCTCTGAGCTAGTTTGGCTTCAACTCCCAGAAGTATTAAAATAGGCCATATGTATGAATGACCAGGTGTTACCATGACACAAGGCCCGTGGTTGGGTGTTCATCTGGTCTGTTACATAGGCGAGTTACCAACCATCTGGTAGAAATTCAGGGCGATAGGTTGCTCTCCACTTTCTGCTTCTGAGTTCACCATGGCCAACTTCAGTTCTCAGGATAAATCAGTGAAAATCCTGTCTGGAGGGAAATGGGTATTTTCAGCTGATGCATGTGGCAGGTCACAAAGACATGGGAAGAAGCTTCAACAGTGCATGGCTCTGGCTGACTAGGTACCACTAAGAATCTGGGTCAGGCTCACTCTGGAAGTTTCAGTATAAAATGATGATAGAGCAGAAGCCATTGTGGTGACAACACTCCTTCACAAATCTGTCTTTGAGTCACATCACTGATGCCTTGTATACGTTGGGGTGAAGCTGTTCATACTGACATCTCCTTTCATCCTCATTTTGGGAATTCCTTACCCTCAAGCCTCTATCCTAAGACTTATGTCTTTCTTTGCTATGGTTTCTTCCTTCATTTTGGCAGCTCACATCTAGAAATAGTGCCTGAGAGATAAAGTTTTGGTAGTTGTGTGTCTGAAAATATACTGACCTTCCCATGCATATTATCCTATATTTGGTTGGGTATAGAATTCTAAGTTGAAAATTGTATTCTTTCAATATTTTGAAGATAATATTCCATTGTCTTCTTGCTTCTCGCATTGCTATTTTTAGTATACTCTGATCAATTTCTTTTGCTGATTATACGCTATCCTGATCCCTGATCTTTTGTATATAACTTGTTTTTATTTCCTCTTCTCAGAAAACTTATAAATGTTCCTTTTGTCCCAGTGTACTAGACTTTCACTATCATTGGCATTGATTGATATGGAAATAATGTCACATAGTCATAACTTCAAGAAATCGAATGTTCTCTCTACCTCCTTCGTCATCTAAACTGTTATTAATAGCAAGATGACTACAAATGAGATACATTTTTTAAACAAATACAATAGAATGTCTGCAAGTTGATCACCCAAGGGACTGTAACAAGCTGGTCAACATAAGGAGGTGGTCAACATAAGGAACTACATCTGCTGTAC